AAATAAGGTGTTACTCCCTCACACTAATATATCTTTCTATTACGTTGAATCCAATTTACATGTTTCTTTTCTTTTACAGTCAATTTGTAAAAAGGAAATGGTGGTTTAATTAAAAGTCGTTGTATTTTATTATTACACAATATTGCAATTTCTTTCACTATGAATTAATTTCTGTCTGTTTTGAAACCTTGGACATCTACGATAGCAGTCATGTCAACTTGCGCACTATGTTACTTAAAGGCTTATATTCCACAAGTTGATCGTTAATGATTAAACAATATCCAGTTTTCTTCTCTGGTATTGCCGTTGTACATTCAATCTCCAAACGAACATCTACGGGTCCCGTTTTTAGACTGTCGTTTTGTCTTGAACAATCTATCACAAATAGCGGAGCCTTCTCCTTACAGCTACTTAAATCAAGCAATGGGTCTGCGGGACAGTTGTAGTACGACAGGCGAAATTTCACATACATTTCGTATAATATATTAAATTTGTTTTCGGAAAACTTTAAACATAAGGGCTCGTATGGGTAATATTGTGAATTCCAAAACAATGTCACATTTCTCACTCCACAGTGATCAAATACTGTATAGCGTAGATTCACAGACCGCAGCCCGCGGGCCGAATGCGCCCCACCGGTCGAATACTGGTGGCCCGCCGACAGAAAAAATAATACTTTCGTACATTCGAAAAATATTGAATTATATTCCAGAATAAAACCAAAAAAAAAATATGTTCGAAAAGTAATTTGAAGCTCGCGTGCGCGCTCTTAAGTGCGCTTATCGGTGCGCCGTGCATGCGTCGGTAACAGCGGTTGGTAATGTTCGTGCTGATCTCGGTTAAATTCGTTTTCTTGAGGAACCGCCGCGGCCGGCGGCGCGGCGACGATGGCAGCGCGGTGGCGGCTTATCCACGGGTTATATTGTTAGAGCAAGCGAGATAGCAATAGTCCCGAATTCCCGATTGCTCACGTAGGTAGATACACGAAGCTTCCAGAGTCGGTTTCGTGATTTCTCCAGACAGTTTTCGACTCTATTCGCGCGGTATAAAAGCCACGCTAACCGCAGCGACCGACAGTTCTGTTTTAATTTGAGTGAAGTGTCAATAGTTCTAGTGTAGATTTTAACTCGTCTAGCCGGTGTCATATATTTTGATCCACATTCAACGTAGATTTCCCGTCAAGTGCCGTGTATAATTGTGTTGTGAAATCGTAAGTAAAACTCTGTTATTAATAAGTGTTTCCCTACCTATTTAATCAATTATTTTTGGTAATTTAAAAAAGGATGGGTAATTTAAGTAGGTACTGTAATTGTTTTTAGGTGCTGTGTTAATCCTAGCCAGGATTAGACCGCAACATGGACAAGCCAGGACCTAGTAGAAAACGTAAGGTTAAAGATGAAAATCGGCAGTTTCAAGAAATTTGGACTGAAAAATACTTTTTTGTATGGTCGGTTAACAAAGTCGTTTGTTTAATTTGCAAGAATTCTGTTGCGATTGCAAAAGAATATAATCTAAAAAGGCACTATGAAACGCAGCATCCTACTTTTACCAAGTTTACAGGCGAATTAAGAAAGCAAAAAATGTTGTCTTTAAAACGGGAGCTTATTGGTCAGCAAGCTATGTTTACAAAACCCATCCAAGATTCAAAAACAGCTACAGAAGTTAGTTATGAAATTTCTCGAATGATAGCAAAGCGAAGGCGCCCCTTCAATGATGGGGATTTTGTAAAAGAATGCATAGAAATTGCCGCTAAGAAAATTTGTCCAGAAGCAGCAAAAAACTTTGAGAAAATCCAACTGTATCGTATGACTATCCAAAGACAAATTATGTCTTTGTCAGGTAATATTGCGGAACAATTAAATGAAAAAACAAGGATCATTGAATTTTTTTCATTAGCACTCGACGAATCCACTGATATTAGTTCCACAGCTCAACTTCTGATATTCATAAGAGGTGTTACTCAAGATTTTGAAGTCTTAGAAGAGTTATTAGGAATGTGTTCATTGAAAGGTCAAACCAGAGGAGTTGATATAATCAATGTACTTTTGGATGAGTGTTCAAAAACTGATTTGGACTTATCAAAATTATCGGGAGTTGTTACTGACGGTGCTCCTTCGATGATTGGTGTCAATTCTGGGCTAGATACTTTGCTGAATAAGCATCTGCAAGAAAAAAACATAAATGGTGAAGATCTCATGCAGTTTCACTGCATTATACAACAAGAATCCCTCTGTTCTAAAAAAAATTAATTTCAAAATGTCATGAAAAGTTTCGACTGTAAATTTCATAAAATCACGAGGAATCAATCACAGGCAATTCAAACAATTCCTTGATGACATCGATAGCGAATATGGAGATTTACTGTATTATACAGAAGTAAGGTGGCTTGACACTGGAACGATTTCTAAATTTAAAATATAAGAAATTGGAATATTTCTGGCGGAATAGCAAAGGGATGTACCGGAACTTAAAAATCCTGATTGGTTGTGTGATTTGGGTTTTTTAGTTGATATTACAAATCATTTGAATGTCTTGAACACACGGCTTCAAGGAAAAAATCAACTGATATCCCAGCTCTACGCTCATGTATCATCCTTTCAATGCAAGTTGACACTTTTCAGATCGCAATTGAATTCTGGAAATTACAATCATTTTCCGAATTATAAGAAATTGGCTGAAAAATTCAACAAAACTGCGATTAATTTCAGTTATCTAGAAAAGCTAGATATTTTGATTCAATCTTTTCAAGACAGATTTTCGGAGTTTAAAAAAGTGAAACCTCTGTTGGACATAATCAGCAATCCTTTCACGATTTCAGTTGAAAATGCGCCAGGGTCAATGCAGTTAGAAATTATCGACATTCAAAATGACCAAGATTTACGCAACAAATTCAACGAAGGAGATTTGCTGAACTTTTACCGCTTTATTGATAAAAATACGTACAAAGAGTTGCGCATAAACGCTCTGAAATGTGCCAGCTTATTTTTCAATACTATATAATAATAAAAAAAAATCGAAACCGCCTTGCAAATGAAAGTTTGGAAGCAGTTTTACGTGTTGCTACAAGTAAATTTGAGCCAAATATAAAAAAGATTGTAAGCACTATGCAGTGCCAAGCTTCAAATTAATAAATTCTTTTCAATTTTAATACATTATTATCAATTCTTTATTGTCTTTAATTACCTATACTTCTGGCGGCCCGCCATCAGTTCATAATTTGCCCGAGTGGCCCCTAATCTTAATAAGTCTGTGCATCACTGCTGTATAGTCTTTCATTTTTTGATTTTTTCTGTTTGTTTGTAAACAAAAAATTACATATCGAGTTTTCCCTAATTGTGACGCAGTCTTAATAGACCAGGAATGCTTAGTTACTGTAGGAAGTAAAGGGTATTCATATAAATCTCAATTTCTAAATGCCATCTGTATAGGTTTATCTCTTCCTAAAGGTTTAAGAAGTTTCAGTCGTTCACGATCTGATACTTTCACATGTGGCACTCGCCATTGTATTCTTTGTATGTCTATTTTAAAATGTGCAACATCTTCAGTTCCTATAATACTATTTATGTTAGAATTACTTCTGTTCAGTATAAGTTCATGTTTATAATTTATTACAATTTTAGCATAATCTTCTGCAAACCCTAAAATCTTATACTTAGGTACAGTAGCACTAAAATCACCGTTTTCACTTTTAAATCCATCCATATCCCAACTCCACAAAGCTGCTACTTTATTTTCTGCTTCATTCATTGAAATGTGTGATTTAATTGTTGACGTTATACCAGCATTTTTAATACGATCTATTTCGATTCCATTTATCTCATACCTTATGTCTTGAAACAAGAACATAATAGGATTATTACTGAACGTAACAGGTTTTTTAATCTCGTTTCCATCTTTGCTGAACAGCTTTGCACGACCTTCGATGTAAATTGAACTGGGTGATGGTAATACATATATGTCTTGCTGATGTATGGGAATTCTTATTTCATCGTTTTCTCTAAAGCTATTATTATATGGATTATAAGAATGGACTTCATAACTTTCAATAGAAGTATCGAAGTTTGGTAAGTCATTAATCTGTAGTATATTCATACTTTAACAGTGGTAGAGCCACGCGGCAGCTTTTGCTGTCGCACGGATGGGCCGGCTCGAACCGGGGTGGTACCACGACCTCACAGAATACCAGCGTGAAGTAGAGGTTTACCTCTGCGTTTCTCTTGGTGAGTGCAGGTGACCGGAGGCCCTTTTTACTGGAAATGAGGCATTCCATCTTAGTCCTCACGGGTGGCAACGCATCTGCATTTTGATTCGCAAATGAGGATAGATGTAGATGTCTATGGGCCACAGCAACCACTTACCATCAGGTGGACTGTGTGCTCGTCTGTCACCCTTATCCTATAAAAAAAAACTTTAAATCCTAAAAACTTTAGAAAATCTTTATTATTTTTACTCAAGGTCTTAAATTTTTTCTCACGTCTTCGCACCTTAGTGAGTGTAGAAGTAATAGGGCGCTTTAAGTAGACTGTAGGGTTTTTATAGTGCAATATCATTTTACTTTCCTCAAATGGAGGCGAATTTCAAAATATTGTTCTTTGAAATTAATTATGTAGCCAAATTGATCTAAAACTTTTATAGTTATAGATGTTATATTATTTTTGTTCACTGGGAAGTAAATAACGTTCTGAGGTATTTCTATGTATTGATTATCTGCAGCAGTTTTAGATACATATTCGTGAATAATATGAGTAGGTAGTAGTTAACCCGTTGCAATATAAGCCGTATATGAGATCAAATTCGATTCTGATCACAGATGGGAACTTGCTGTCAACATAAGAAAATTTTGTTGTTGAGTTTATTACTCAAAAATATAGTAAACCGCATTCGTATTGACCTGATAAACTCAGAGGCGGTAGAAAGTAGGAATCCAATTCTGATTTATTTCCTGAGATAGTAACTGTTATAGACATGCTTGTAAACTGAGCAATTTATGAAGTTCTTGTTTATTTTATGTCTTGTTTGCGCCAAAAATTCTCCAAAAAAATCAAACAAAGATTTCCACAATTGAAAGGGTGATCACGCTGTATGTTATCATAATTATAGTGGACTTTAGGACCTAAATATTCTATCAATTCCATTGGAGGTTTAAGATTTCCATAACTGTCGAAATATTCAACATAAATATTAAATTTTACATAGGCTAGCCAATGAGATCCCGGATTTGAGGAAATATCTAAATTTATAACTCCACATTCTTTTTTAATAGGGTTTGTTGGAGCTCATCTCTCATAAAGACACCTCGAAAATATGGAATATTTTTTCCATACTCTAAAATGTCAATGTAAGTTAAGGCGCGTTTGGGTAGCCTATATTGTAGTTTTTTATTTCTTTAGATACAAAAATGCCAAATCCATTTTTATGAGGCTTAAGGTGTAAACCATTTCCGATACAAAGAGCTTCCATTTTTTCATTGTGTCTCTTCAATTCAGCAAATTGTTTTTTAGCCATTTTGATTTCATTTATAGTTTTAAGTATAACAGCTGCACCACCTGCTAAGGTTCCCGTAGCCGATAATCCAGCAAAAATCGGAATCAAAGGTAGTACCCCACCAGTTTTTGGTATAGGAATAATGCGAGGAAGTATAACAGAATTATCAACTAATTCTCTAGCAGCAGCTATAGCTAGCTCAATTGCTGCTTTCTTGCATTTTGATTTTAATTTTTGCATATGTCTTTTCGTTTTTGTAATGATATTCTTAAACTTATTTTTAAATTAATTTTCCAACTTTCTCAGAGACATTTTATTACTATATTTTGATTTTGAGATTGCATAGCTTTGCTTACTATCTTTGCTGCTAACTTTTCCCCCAAATTTGCATTGGGAGCAATCTCTCGTGTTTTTGCCATTTTTAACAAAACTAAATCCGCCTTATGTCGATCCTTTAAGTTTGAATATTTGTGATACGCAATGTCGTGTTCTTTACAATATTCATCTAATTTTTTTATACCTTTGACTCCACGTGATAGTTTTTTGATTAAATTTGTTCCAGGACCACAATAATTGTATACCGGTAAATGTAATTCAAATGGTAAATTATTATCAACCAATTGAGAAGACTACTCTCACCAATGCACATCATAAGACTGTTAATCGCGCTTGGGATATTTATTAAATATACCATTTTTTCTTATTTGTTCTTAATGTTAAACACAATGGTCAGTAAGTCAATTTGACTTATCGATCCAACTGTTTTCACTAGAAGACAAACCTATCCATTTTACTAAAACTTTATTTCCTTTCCTTCTTAAAACTTTTTCGAATAAATATATATTTGGATTTTTAGTCTTTTGTAGCTCTTGCGCATAAAATCCTCCTAAAATTGGTTGACCTCTAATTGTATCTTCAATTAAGTAAGTGGTTGGAATTGTGTTCTGTAATTTTCGAATTTTAAATATTTCTGTCGACCAATTTGGAGTATATCCTCTTTCGAATGTACCTTTATATTTGCTTATACGCACATAATCACCTACTTTAAACTTACGTTTTACATTATCATTCTTTACCAATATAAGGTATCTCTGTAGTATTTGTTGTTTACTTTTATTGTTAACATTGGCTGGAATTTCACCAATAGTTCGATGATAAGTGTGATTGTATTCGTAAATAACATTATTAAGAGTATCGCCTATCTAGTTATAACTACCCTGAAAACTATATGCTTTATAAAATGTAGATTTCAAAGTTCGAATAAATCGGTCAACTATGGAAGCCTTCTTTGTTGAAAAGGTTTAGTAATGATTAGTATTATAAGAATTCATAATTTTTTTAAACTTATCGTTATAAAATTCTGTTCCATTTTGCAGATTTTTGGGTACACGTGTTTATAGGAGCTCCATAAAATTATAGCATACGTCCTCTTTACTTTTAGTATTAATTGGAAAAGCCCAAGCGTATTTCGAAAATGTATCAATGACGGTAAGAATAAATCTGAAGTTTTTGTTTTCCTTAGTAACTGATTGCATATCAATTAAGTCTGCTTGCCATAAATAATCTATATCTTTCGTAATAACATTTCTACGTGGGAAATTCACCCTAGCATTTCTATGAATTTCATTTACTACATCGGCTTTACTCATGTTCAAAAATAATGTATTTTATTTTATTCCTATGTTGGTAGTTATTAAAAATAATTCGTTTATGCTGCTTGTTACTTAAATAAATACAGACAATTTTTTAGTAATTTGCAACATGAGCAACTTCACCAATACTGAGTAAAAGCTAGTAATAATTAGTATTTTATTCCTTTATAATGATAGCTTCTTTTAATTCTTCAATGATCGATAAAATTTCATTATCATGATTTGTATTGCCCGCATCTCTTGAAGCTATTAAAAGTTTTAATCTATCAACTAATTCATTTGGATCGTCCCAATATATAATATCTTTGTACACGAGTTTATCAGTGCTTGATACTGAATTCAAATGAGGTATTTTTCTAAGTAGAAGTTCTCTTAACGCGATAGTAAAATTGTAAGATTTGTCTCCAATTTTTACTAAAAATACAGTTTCGTTATCCAAACTGTCAATTTTAGAAAAATTAACTTCTCAATTTTCCCATCATGTAAGTTTTCTTTTATTTTCTTATCCCAAATGGTATATTTAATTTATCATCCTAAATATCATAGATATAATTCCGATCTAATGACGCCTCCAAATTTTCTTTAACTTAATTTTTTGGGGATTCTGCAGAACTCAAGTCAGCATCGTAATAGTTCTGAAATTAGATTCAAATTATCCAGCAGAACTTGCGCATGATTGCATCGATAAATTATGGTCTTGATTTGGTTTTTGCTTATTTACTATGATTTTAAGGGGCTCTGTAACAGGTTTTAATAGGCTTTGCCTTGGCAATAACTCTTTTGAAGGATCTGGAGGTGAAGTTATATTTCTTTTTAAGTATGCTGGTGCTTACATCCCGAGTCGCTGTTGCCGCAGCCCAGGCTTGATAACACTCCTGCTTACTGCGTAATGCAGTCTTACAAGAGCGAACAAACCAAGGCTATAATCTGCCTCCAATCGGTACCACAGATGATGGAATAAATAATTCCATTCCCTGTAGCACCACATCAGTGACAGAGTGAGAAACAGCGCTGGGATCATCCGGCGAGAAGCACACCCGCCCCCATGGGTAGGATGAAAAGAAAGACCGCATTTCGTCCCAATCCGCCGACCTGTAATACCAAACACAGCGGCAACCTGCAGAACGCAACCGCGAGGGGAGCGTGAGTGGCACCACACTTCGGATCAGACAATGGTCCGAAGAGCCGAGAGGGGCATCGACGGAAACCTGATATCCGTCCGGATGAGAGGTCAGCAGTAGGTCCAACAGAGAAGGTGTATGATCCTCCACATATGGAATCTGCGTAGGCGAAGGAACCAGTTTTAGTTTCAAAGTTTTATTGCTATTAAAAATTTAAAGGCGCTCTCATTTTTTTCTTTTGCCGTTGGACAAGGGACAAAGGACAAATGTAATACTTTGTGTAATTGATTTATTTTGGTAATTTAACTCTCACTCATAAGGCATGCACTTTTGGATTTTTCAAACTATTTTATGCTTCTAACAAGATTTTCTAACGTCACTTTGTTATGATTAATTTTAAAAACTTTACTTTGTGAATATCATCAGCTATAATTAACTTCGAGTAGTCTCTTTAAAATGACAATTAAACACGGTTTGTTTATCAGTACACATTGTTTAGCAGATAATTACATCGTTGTCGTAATTATTATAATTGCTTTCAGAGACAATTTAAGTAAACCCTTTAAGGAACGTGCGATATATTAATTATAAAATTATAACCTTGTCTTTTCCCTAACTAGCCCGTATTAATTCACAGCTGGACACGGGCCACTTACTTAAGGAAAGAATAGTCGTTATTCGTCACGCTTGGCAGAACGACACTCGCGGTAACAGACATTTCCATCGTTCGAGATCGGGTCTGGCACAAAGCGCTTCTTTCGAAGCTTCCTTCCTATGGGCTTCTCTAAAATGTGCAATTGGATCACCAGTTTTTTGGCTGATCGGAGCATCAAGATCATAGTAGATGGCGCATGTTGCGATTACAAGCCTATTAACGCTAGTGTTCCACAAGGCTGCGTGCCGTCACCAACGCTGTATTTTCTGCATATCAATGATATGTAACATTGATTGCTATGCGGATGACAGCACTGGTGATGTTTTATACACCGGCCGTGCCAATACTCGTATTTCTCGGGAAAACGTACCGGATAAAACTTGTGTCTGAAGTCGAATTTTTCATGAACGTCTGAAAAGTCCCGGATTGGGGGCGACTAAATCTAGTCTAGTTTAATCTTCAGAAGACACAAGTATGCGCGTTTACCGCTAAAAAACCCTTTGTCATATCTCCTCAGTTTCAAGGCCCTCTTCTTGTTGCCTTAGCCAGTATCGGAATCATCGCCGTCGACATATTGAGCGACTTGCTGTTTCGTGGTCACTTGCAAGAGAAGGTCAATTGGCCTCTAAAAAGCTTAGCGTGCTCAGCAGAGCGGGACAATATTTTATGCCGGCACACCTGCAATTTTACAAGGCGCAGGTTTGGCCTCACATGTAATACTGTTCTTATCTCTGGGCTGGCGCTCCCTGTGCCAGCTCCTTCCACTTGACCGCATCCGGCACAGAGCGGCTTGAATCGTCGACGATCGAGTCCTTTCCGATCGGTTCTATTCACTGGCGCTGCGATGAGATGTTGCATCTCTTTGCACCACGGGGAGTGCTCTGAAGAATTGTTCGGACTAATTCCAGCCGCTCAATTTCACCATCTCACATTGCGACAAAACTCACGATACCATCCATACCACCTGTATGATTGGCGGTCCACCATTGAGCGATTTAGAAGATGTTTTCTGTCTCGCACAACTTCTTTGTGGAATTGATTACTACCAGTGATTTTCCGGACCGATGCGACTTAGGGGTCTTCAAAAAAAGAGCCTACTCCTTTTTAAAAGGCCAGCAACGCATCTGCGATTCCCCTAGTGTTACAGTTGTTCATGGGCGGCGGTAGTCACTTACCATCAGGTGAGCCGCATGCTCGTTTGCCACCTCTCCTATATACGAAAATCTCCCGTCGCCTGTTTTTCCCTGCCGACACCAATTAAATTGTTAATTGCAATTTTAAGTGCTGATTTACCACGTGCTCGGCGGTGAAGGAAAACGTCGTGAGGAAACCTGCATGTCTGAGAAATAAGAAAAAAAATATTTCGAAGACATGTGAATTTCGCCAGCACGCATTGGGGCAGCGCGGCAGACATTTCCTTGCCCTAAAACCCTCTCAGAAATGAGAGGAGGCCTGTGCCCAGCAGTGGGACGTAAATAGGCTGCAACTTTATAACTTTATCTTTACTGTTTTTTTTAAAGAGTTATGGTGACAAACAAGCACATAGTCCATATGATGGTAAGTGAATGATGTGGCTCATAGATGTCTACATCTATCTTCTTAATAATATTATTTGTAGCACAAATGGGTTGGCTCGACCGGGGAAGTACCACGCCCTCACAGAATACCAGCGTAAAATAGCAGCTTAACACAGCTGTGTTTCGTATGGTGAGTGTAGAGAACCGGAGACCCTTTTTACTGGGTAAGAGGCATTCCATTTTAGTCTTCACGGGTGACAACGCATCTACATCTGGATTCACAAACGAGGATAGATGTAGATGTCTATGGGCCACAGCAACCACTTACCATCAGGTGGACTGTGTGCTTGTTTGTCACCCTATCCTATAAAAAAATCAAAATGCAGATTAATTGTTACCCCTGAGGACTAAGATGGAGTTTTCAGTAAAATAATCTCGGGATCTTTACATTCACCATAATATACATTTGTTTTATAGGAGAGGGGGCAAACGAGCATGCGGCTCACCTGATGGTAAGGGACTACCTTCGCCCATGAACAACCGCAACACTAGGGGAATTGCAGATGCGTTGCCGGCCTTTTAAATAGGAGTAGGCTCTTTTCTGGACGGTCCCTAAGTCGTATCGGTCCGGAAAAATCGCTGATGGTAATCGATTCCACAAGATCGTCGTGCGAGGAAGAAAACATCTTCTAAATCGTACAGTGGTGGACCGCCAATCATCCAGATGGTGTGGATGGTATCAGGAGTTCTGCCGCGATGTGCGTTCGTGAAATTTGGCGGCTGGGATTAATCCGAACAATTCCTCAGAGCACTCCCCGTGGTAAATGCGAAAGAAAATGCAAAGAGATGCAACATCTCTTCGCAGCGCCAATGAGTCGAGCCGATCGGAAAGGACTCGGTCGTCGACGATTCGAGCCGCTCTGCGCTGGATGCGGTCAAGTGGAAGGAGCTGGCACTGGGGAGCCCCTGCCCAGAGATGGGAACAATATTCCATGTGAGGCCGAACCTGCGCCTTGTAAAGTTGCAGGCGTTGTGCCGGCATGAAATACTGTCCCGCTCTGCTGAGCACGCCAAGCTGTTTAGAGGCCAATTTGGCCTTCTCTTGCAAGTGACCACGAAACTGCACGTCACTCGATATGTTGACGCTGAGGATTAGTACTCGGCGACGTTTTCCCGGGAAATATTGGCAAGGCCGGTGTATAGAGCATCACCAGTGCTGTCATCCGCATAACAATGAATGCTACCGGTTTGCAACATATCATTAATATGCAGAAGAAACAGCGTTGGTGATAGCACACAGTCTTGTGGAACACCAGCGTTAATAGGCTTGTAGTCGGAGCATACACCGTCTACAACGACCTTGATGCTCCGATCTGCAAGAAAACTAGTGATCCAATTGCATAATTTCTCGGGAAGCCCATAGGAAGGGACCTTCGAAAGAAGCGCTTTGTGCCAAACCCGATCGAAGGCGTTCGCAATGTCCAAACTAACGGCCAATGCCCCCCCTTTGGACTCTACTGCCTCCGCCCATCTATGAGTTAAGTAGACCAGAAGATCACCAGCTGGTCGACCTCGATGAAAACCGTATTGGCGGTCACTAATCAGCTGGTGATCCTCGAGGTACCGCATGAGGTGGCAGTTTATAACGGATTCCATTATTTCGGAACACAAGGGGGTGATGGCGATAGGCCTGTAGTTGGACGG